AGTTACATTTAACAATTCTCAAATAAAAGTTGATCAGTCCACGGTTTATTTAAGAATACTACGTTAAACGCATATGCTATTTAGACATGTTATTTTATGATGTTGCATCGACTTTTGAGGTTATGTAGCATCAATGAACATATAGTAGGATGATTTTAAATGATGACTCTGGAGAGATAAGAGCAAATGGGTGTGGCCTGTTGTAAAGTAGCTATCCCATCATCTTCCTGGAGACACTAACAAAAACCATGAAAATCCTACACCAGGATGTCAGAAGCATACAGCTACGCACTGTCCACTTAAGTTATTTAGCATCAAACTGTATGAGAATATGATCATGACTGGCATAGCAACAAGGACATGGAAGGAAGCTCTTGTGGTCTAACATAGCTTTAGCTTGGAACGGCTGTGGAAAACATTTACACAGCAACTTCAAAAATATCTGGCATACAGAAATCATCGTGTGCTTGGGCCTGTTTTCCATTAATTAAATAAATATTAATTCCTTTCATACGTTTACTTTAAATTTTGGATAATACGGCCCTTCTCGTAATAATCGTTAAATGTTTTTCACTGGATAAATTTTGGTTTCTCTTACCTAAAGTTTCACTTCTATATAAAAGTGTGTGAATTACCATCTGTTTCAACTGTATCTTTTTCCTTACTTGTTTTAATGTTCCAAAGCTCAGTGTATGAGTTGCAGACTTCTCTCAAAGAATCTGGTATTCTTTGCAAATTAAGGAAGGTATTAATTTCATTCTAGTCACTTTCTAATGAGACCCAACGAGATTGCAACATTTTATTAGAATCAGAGATGGTCATGAAAATTTTTGCCCACTAAAGTGTTGATCAGACTTTGAAATGACCCTTACAGCATGAAATAATCTACCCAAATCACTGAATGCCGTCAGGTACTGTGTCAGAAATACATGATTAATCTAAATAAATTCATTCATACTAAAGTCACAGAGCTTTATACTCAAGACTGTCAAATACGACCAAATATCCTGACGTATATTTTCTTGGTTTTCCTCAGTCCTTCCAGACATGATGGGATGATATACCCTAACTCATGACTGCCTACCTTGCATCCTTGGCTACCCATAATTCATAACCACTACTTGTTTCTTGTCACTACATAACCTAGCTGTCGACAAAATATTTGAAATAGCAAATAAAGAAAAAATAAACAATTTCTCATGGCACACAGACATCTTAACATTCCCCTCGTTAAAATAAAATATATCTTCACTTCTACTTTACAGCCATTTATAACAAAAAAAATTCTTTTTCTATGACGATGAAATTTATCCAAGGTCATAAACTTAAAATTTGTAAAACACAAAAAGTGAAATCATGACAGCTTTAATATATGCAGAAGAACTTCTGAAGTTTCTGTGGGGCTTCCTGTGAGAGATAGCTGCACTACCTTTTGTCGCTTTTAAGTTCGATTTACCGAAGTCGAAACACTTGCATCAGACTCTTCTTTGCAAGTTTATATACATGATTAATTTCTTGAAGCCTGTAGACTTTATAATAAAAAAAGGAGAAATTATTTAACAGTGAATATGATAATTAAAAGAGGGTCATTAATGCATTACCTGCGACAGTATGCAGGATATCAGAACAAAGTATTTAAGTTCCATGAACACAAACAACACGGACTGAATAAAAATTATGATTTAAATTAAATGGACAATTTTGAAAACCACATTACATAAAAGTCATACAAGTGGTTCTACGCATTGCTACTCAATGCACTTATGACAATTTCAAGTCTAATTTATAGTCTTATGAAACCTATCATAAGCATTCCAGTGTTACCACACACATTTCTCAAGCACGTTACAAAACATAACGTCACCAGTAAAATATTTTCAGAGCACTTTGAATCAACACAATTAATTAACTACATAATTACCATTAAAGATTTTGCAACAGCATTAGACCAGAAATTTAGAAACTGTACGATGAACGAAGTATGGTATAAAATCATGGACAAGAAGGTTTACATCTGCAAAACTTAACAAAGTAACAAGAGGCTTCTATTGACCAGTTAGTCTTAAACCCATTTTGCGGTGATTAACAGATATTACAGCAACTATACCGTAAACAATTATTTTAATGGATGTTAAAACTCGTTAAGTTTAGATATTCAAAACGTGGTAAACAATGTACACGTACCGAATGCTGCTGCTACCACCACGTGCCAATAAAAATAAATACGACAGACAAGAAAATTCTTGTGCATGAATAGTCCCAGACGTGCAAATGGGCTGCAATCCTTTTTACTTTTCTGCATGATTAAACAATATTACTTCCTGAATCTTTACACTGTGATATATGCTGCTCTTACCTGAAATTACACTTGAACCACCTAATTTCTACTCCTTGCCCACTGCATACAGAACGCTGAATTTGTAAACACCAACGATAATAGCATATATGATCAAGACTGTCTTCACAAATGCCTCAAGATAGTCTGCTCCTCTAAAATATCAGTAATTTTCTACTAGACTACACAGTGCAACATCCCAGAAGACGGTAATCTTCAAAAAATCTTCATGTCTGCAAATCAGACTAGCGCATATCACTTTTTAGTTCCACACAATTATACTATCATTCATCACACTGCAGAACTACCAGAATGACCAAATCTTGGCATGACGAACACCAAGTCTTGGCTACGAAATGCTTAAAAAAACCTACACCTGGAAATTCATACCAGATTTCTAAGGTTTAAAAATTTCCTGCGCTACACAGCAACTTCGTAACCTCGCAGTACTAATTAGAGAGAAAAAATGAGACTGACACTTTTTTCTCTTTTACTCCAGTGCCTTTAGAAGATGTTACTCAGACACTTCCCTGAACTGTTGTAGACACAACAGCGAAGCTGAGGGATTTAATATAACAAGATGTTACAAATACGAAGCCTCGTAATGGGGGAGACAGTACACAAATTTCCTTTCATTCGGCAACTTGGGAAAAGCCTTCCACAATTTTATTTCTTCTTCTATCTTCCATGTAGACTTACAGTACTCGAGGTGAGCGGCGAAACCAGCCCGGGATGACCTTTAATGACGACGCATGGTACACGTGTGCGAAACACCACATTCCTCCTCACGATGCTAGCCTACAAAATCGATTTCAAGACTGTACTGTACTAGCCTGCGCTGCAGTCCACAGTTTATCTTTGTATATGGGAACTCCTGTTAGCGTGCCAATGGACGGCAAGATAAAAAACAGTATAAGTATTCTTACAAATCAATATTCATCATAAGATCTGATGACAGACTTCAGTGATGGTTGTTATGAACATTTTGATTACATACAGCAGATTTCTTCACCTGTTCAAAAAATATCAGCTGTGAAGGAAGACTATGTTACATTGAGGTAGTTAATTATTATATCACGGTAGAACTACCAAAAACAATTACACAATTAATCACATTGGTCCGTAACGATGAGCAACACTGAAATCGCTGCTGCGTCAAATATAGGTATTTAAATGGGTTTTCAAAGTGAAGTCAACGAAAAACTGTCTTTGAATGCATTCCAGGTGATTCACAACCTGACAAGAAATTCAGACCTTAATGGATAAAATCAAAAGAAGAAATTAGATGACCAAGGTGTCCACCAAAAACTCTAAATTATCCAAACTGGAAAAAAAAAACATTACCACATTAAGCAACAAATGTGTCGGCATCCCATCAATAATTTTTATAAGTTCTGCAACAAGTGACAACAGGTAAAGTAAAGTTTGTCCCACTACACGCCATGTAGGCGCTTGGGGGGGAGTCGAGGTATAGCTCCTCTCTTCCTTGACCTCGGCACTAGATGGGGGTGAGTGGTCAGCATCATGCCCCGGCCACGCTTTACCCCCGGGAAAGGATCCCAGTACCCATTGAACAGGAGACTGGGTGGGCCCCAGAGCCGGTCTGGACGCAGAGGCTACAGGAAAAATCCTCTGCCTCTGTCAGGGATCGAACCCGAGTCGTCCAGCCCATAGCCAGTCACTATACTGACTGAGCTATCCCGGTTCTAACAGAGACACTAAGGATTCAAATATGTATAAATTTTAAATGAAGTTATTATAAGTTACAGGTAAAACCAATCACCCAAAATGCATTCAAAGCAATACTGCCAATGAAAATACAGTCATAAATGTCTCCTGCTTTGTTCTAGGCTTAAAATGTCTGTATAAGGAAAAACTAAAAATAGTTTTCCAGTATCAATTGAAATGTAACTCGCACTAGTCTGGCCATACTACACATAATTAATGGCTGAATTATCATATGAAAGAACTGCAAATATTATCTTTACAGCATGATGATCAGTAGAATTATGTAAACTTAAATAATTTGGATTGTTAAAAAAATCAAACCTTTTTTACACTTTAGGGTGATGTTGGATTGGTTTATGCTACATCGACACATTAGGCTGATGTTGGATTGGTTTATGCTACATCGAGTAACTGTAAATAATGCTCAAATCCAGCTGCAGGAACATTTAGTCACCATATCGAAAAGGTGCTCTGAACTGTAGCTTACTTCAAGCAGAATACAACAACCGTCGATATACATATCGGATACAACGTAATTACGAGTTAAATTTTGAATAACCTGTTCAATAACCAATCATTCTCACACAGCATAAAATTTCCAGTGTAATATTAGTAATCAATTATCTCAATGAAACCTAAAATACAATCATGCTAGTCTTCCAAGATGATGACAAATTGACTGAAAATTGCACTTGCATCCCAGCTGAAGCAAAAATATTTGTCCACATATTTGACTTGTCACACAAAGATGAAAGTTGATTAGCCAGGGGTATGATACAAATTTTAGGAATCTTGAGCCCTGATTTGAAATAACATTCTCTCCGATGATTGGACACCTCTAAGACTGTTCATATGAGACTGTGTAATTATTTTTTATTGTGCACATATTCCTCAAGAATGTTACGCAACACAGAATCAAACGAAATGTCTTGGGTACCTGAGGGTCATTGCCTCGCACTTCGTTCTGTTTCCATGAGACATTCACGCACCAGAATCCTTGCATGGACTATTCCACGTTTCAGTCTTTCAGCTGAACTTTTGCTTCCAGCATATGTTGGCCTAATATCTTTCCCCATTTCTTCAATTACTGCCAATAACTGTGCATATTTTGATTGGCCTGGTGGTCCCGGTAGCCCAGGAGGTACTGCAGGCCCAGACTGTGTTTGCAGGTGCTGTCGAGGAAATGATGCTGCTGGACTTCCAACTACTCCAGGAAATGATCCTGGTGATGAAATTACATCTGAAGGAATCATCATCCCTGCAGGGCTTGCTGTCACTGGAGAATCCACTGCTTGAATATCATCGTCCATCATCATTGTGTTTAATTACCTGCTTTGATATATTTTATTTGTTGAGTTGTTTTAGTCTTAACCTATACTGAAATACATCAACCTATACTACATGGTGTTTCAAAATAAATTAGTAATTGTACTTATAGAACAAGAGCGTCATAAACTGCGGCGCTTGTTTCGGTCCTGGAGTAAACGAAAATAACACAATTACTAAAGAACACTTACTTGTATTACTTCCACGGTAAAATTAATATTCAAATATTTTCCAATTCATTTACCGTCTTCAAATAAATAAGTCACTCTCAAGCCGTATCATATACGGAATAACACTTTACTCTTTCTGACCTCAGGAGCACAAATAGGCCATGGCAGCAGCTGCAAGCATTTTGTCATAAATTATGGCCATAAATATAATAATTAACACATGATTTGGAGCCAACAAAGTCGATATTAGCGTATCGATGTTAGTTTCGAAACATGCTGTGTAGATGTCAGTAGTCTATGAATATACCAGAAGACATGCTTAATGGCGTCATACTACCACTACTTGGCGAATAAAATAAATTCAAATTTATGTCTTTTGACCAATAGTCCAGTTATTTGATGTATGCTCACAAACTATATATTTCTGCGGCGTATGGGCAATTTAAACACAGATTTTCATCCCAATACATTAAAATCTAGAGTTAAATGATATATTAAATTCAACAGAACAGGTGTACGTAGAAAATATTTAAACGTTTTTATGAATTGTTTTCTGTTGTTCTATAGAGTGTTAATACTAGATGGGCGATTATTGTACAATTTTATATCCATGTAAAATATTTCTCTATGCTACACACTAAACTCAGAAACTGGTCTGTGCAGAACATGTTTGCTTCTGGTATTGAAGACTTGGCTGCTCAGAAATACGTATGCTAAATGTGTGTGTACACACAGGACTGATGTAATTGTATTTAGCACTCAGAGCAAACCTTCAGTCATGTTCTGCCTTGCCCACCCCCTCCCACAATTAATGTTGTGCACTAGTATGAATAAAAGTTCTGTATTTAGAATTTAAAATTTTGTTTACATGATGAAAAATAATAATCTGTTATATGCACATTGAAGTAACCAAACCAAGGAAAGAGATTTAATGTAATACAAGCAGCCCCAGTTTAAACCATTTCATAAAGGAAGGTACTTTTACTCACTCTAAAGAGAAGTGCTCTAACCACAATTTTTTTTGCAGAATTTGGTGATGAATGTTCTTAGTCTCTGCTTGCCAAGCATAGGACAAAATACACAATCTTAACAAAAGCTGTGTTCAACAAGAAACTCCCAGAATACACTGGCATAAGAAGTGCGTTTCACAGCAGCAACAAATGCATTTATTGAGGGTGCATTTATCTAACATGGTTACAGTAACCTGGAAGTACTGAGCAAGACTGGAACTAGATGCTTCTAGACCTTAATGACACATCTAATAGTTTCAGACAGAATTTGATGGAACTTAAAAATGCATACATTAAATATTATAAATCTTAAACTCAAATTTAACTGTGGACAGCTGGAAAATGATAAAGAAAATAGAATTCTTTAAGGACATTTTTCTCATCTTCAACATTCTAACTGGACCACTATTATACAGTTTTGTTCTTCATATACACTGTTCACAAAATATATTGGGGTGATGACATCAAGGATGGCAAGACATATATGCCATGCCTAACAGAGGTTAGAAATACTCGTACATACAACTTGGGACACCTACGTAGGATGATAATATAAAAATACAATGTCAAGAAATAAGGTGTAAGGATATGGTCTAGATTCATGTGACTGAGGACTGAGTCCAATGGCACACTTTCGTAAACACTGAAATAATCCTTTGGATTCCATGAAACATCAAGAATTTCTGAAGAGTGGCTATTAGCATCTCAAGAAGAACTCTGCTCTGGAGTCATTAAACATGGCTGACAAAGTTTGGCTCCCGTAGTTGTTTTTAAACACCTAAATCAATAGGAATACACCAAGCATAAGATGTAAAAGAAACACTTTGTAAATAATTTGACATTTTATTCGGTTTTACCTTTTATGCATAGTATGGAGGGCATAAGTAAAACATAATTTGTCCTTCTCACCAAACACCAAAGTTATATTTCCCGTAGTTTCTTCACTCTCCACGTATACATGAGAGCAGCCTTTATATACTTACAATTTAAACCTGCAAGACTTTACCATTACATAAACTGCATGTACAAACGAGGTTCAAAGGAAACCTTACAAACAGCAAATACTGTAGATTTATTTCAGTCTGTCACAGAAACTCGCTGTAAGCATTAAAACGAGCATCCCACTGTGCTATCGAACATTTCACCCCTTTTCACACATCTTAAAGTCTGTGAAACATATCGCATTTCATTTCATAGCGTAAATGGAACTGGTATTCCCTGGTGTGTTCTTTGGAAGTCCAAGAATATAAAATCACAAGAGAAGAGAACGAGAGAACTGATCTGCATGGTGGATATTCTAACAACACGTGCAATATATGCAGGGGGTGAACTGTAAACTTTTTTTTTGTTGAACCCAGTTCAGGAAAGTCAAAATAAATGTAATCACAAATTAAGAAACTGAAATTCTTCTGGCACCTTTGGGCAACGGCTTTTAACCTTTCTTCATTGACGAATCCTGGAACCTGCGTTTCTTCTGAATGTAAAACCTTAAATGAGTCATTTTTATTCCCAGAGTAAAATTATAGTAGTAAGTTACTATCACAGTTGAATAATTCATTAATGAGTTATAATGTAAAGATTAAAAAAACTTTTCTGCTTTTAGTACAAATTCCTACAAAGACGATTATGCAGTTTACCTTGTGCCTAAGAACTGCGTACGCCATGAAGGCTATTGGTGGAAGTGAATGATCCGCTTCAGGCTATGGCCACTTTATCTGCAGCAGAAGAGCCCTCGCTACACGATTAGTCCCCACAGCCATTCTCGATGCAGTGGTAAAGATTTATATAACAGCAGTTCAAAAAAGTCATATAATCCACAGGGATTTTGACATTATTACTTTCAAGTTCCATGAACCCCAGTTACAAACAATGATTTAAGGCAGTGGTCCCCAACGTGGTGCCCACGGGTGCCATGGCGCCCGCCAAGCCTTTTTTGGGTGCCCACATTACGGAAAGAGGTTATACTGAATAATGAAGGCCGTTCAACCATGAACATGATAAAATCAAAGCGCAGATCTCGACTTACTGACGCCCATCTTTACGATTGTTTGTGATCAGCAACGTCATCCTACACTCCCAAATTTGAAAAACTGGCCGATGAAATTCAGCGCCAAACATCCCACTTGAGTAATAATAATTGTACTTATAAAAGTACGTATTTTTGATTGTATGGTTTCTTGTATCATTAAACGTCGTGTTGTTTTGTGTATTATTTGGTGTCCATATCTTATTTGTCCAGAGAAAAGGAAATTTGGCTTTGTTAATTGGTTGGTGCCCGTCACGATCTCACAAAATTTCAAATGTGCCCGTAGGCACAAAATGTTGGGGACCACTGAACTAAGGAATCACTACGTTGGTTGTTACTTCAATGTACCACGTAGCCCTCTATTCTACAGCATGTCGTCTCATTGGGCTTCCTGTGCGACAATTCCTCTCTGGAAGTCATATCTGGATCGAAGTCAATGCTGTACACACACTGCGGTTTATGTAGCAATGGATGAGTGCCTTTCACGCATTCAACAGTTACTCTGTTTTTTAAATACTCCAAGTACTTCCTCACAAAAAAACGATTTGTTTCATGAACATTTGGGTGATGCAAAAAATCTTCAACCTGAAAAAAATAAGAAACCAAATTCTGAATGTTTATAAAGAACAGGTTTACAGTCAAATGATAACAAAATGATGATGATGATAATACACATGAATTTAAAGTCAACCATGATGGTTTCAGCCCCAATTAAAAGCAGTAGGATGGCTACGGATCATTCAGATAAGATGTAACATCCCACAACCATTTCAAACACCAATTATACTAATACAAATAAACTCATCCCCACTTAATGGTACCTGCACCTTGTCGTGGTGGTGGGGCTCGAGTACCTCAGTGACCCCAAGAGCTACTGGTAGGGCCTCCCTAGCCAGATTGGTCGAGGGGGAGAGGTCAGACTAAGACAGGTACCCTGGTCCTCCAGGTTGGGGGTTGGTCGTAAGGCTAACAACCTTGCACCGTAAAAAGGAAGATGTTTCGAAACCTCGATCAAAGCCTCGGACAGACGGACCTAACAGAGGACTGAATGGAAGAGGAGAATTGAGGAGGCCGTGGACCGAATACGGACCGGAGAGCCATAGAAGAAGTGACAAAATCCCCTCTCCCCCCAATAAAGAAGGAGAAAAAAAATACAACTGCATAGGTACTGTAATTCATTATCATGTTCATAAGAGCCTGCCACAAGAGTCCTGTCGAAACCTCATAATCTATTTCTTTAAGATGCGTTTTAACATTATTCATGACCCTGATGATGGAGGAAGAAAGCACCTCTGAAACATCAGTAAACTTGTACCAGATTACATGGCACAATATCCCAGAAGACATCGATGTTCAGGTAAAAATTAAACTGTACACAGGATCAAACCCATTGACAGGGTTTGGTGTTCGAAACACCAAAATTTCAAGTGTAATATTCTTCTTTAAGTTAGCACTCGCAGTGTGACATATCCTAGGTGCGCAATGAAACGCTGGCACACGTAGAATTTCACATGGGTGTAACGCACACATTTTAAGAGATTACTGTACAAGAATTACAACTGCTTCCTTCCGAATTTTATGACAAGTAAAACTGATGCTGAGTCCCTGAACAAAAAATAATAAATAAAAGGGAATCATAAAAATTGTTGCAAGCAATTTGTGTCAAGCTGTAACAAAATATTTTATTTGAACCCTTTCTCCCAGGATTTATTTCTTCCATCTTTCTTCTTCTTCTTCTTCTGTTTCTTGACCGTTATTTCGGTCTTCCAGTGCCTAAATTTTCTTGCATTCTTCTCTATTTTTCCATCCTTCCAGAGGTAGTTTCCACTCTTATAATTCTGTCGTTCCATCCTGGTCTCGTTCTTCCTCTCTTCCTTCTCTCTTTTGGTTGCCATTTCAGTCTTTTTTGGTAACCTTTCCTCCTCCAGTGTCCGTACCGGATCAGTTGTCTTTTCTCCTCGATTATATCTCGATCCACCCTCATGATTTCTCTGATCCTTTCGTTTCTCACTCTCTCTCTTCTGGATATTCCATCTTTTAATAATATAAATAAGCAAAACTCTGTTATTTGTAACATTTTACTTTAAAACTATACATAAGATAAAAACATTGCATGGATTATAAAATTCCCATTTTAAAATACAAAAAAGTCATACAAAGATCTTCAAATTTCTATCAGTCCTCCTTGAACACGGGATCTGAATAATAAAGCGTATAAAAATTATAATCCGAAAAACAGTCTAATTACTTTAACCAGTGCCAATAAGAGGTAAGACTATTTCGACGTCGCCATTAGTTCCAATATCTCGATATTATAGATTTTTTATAATTTTTTGGCAGTGGTCGCACATTGCTTGAAGGATGTTTTGATCTGCTAGTCAATCAGACATACAAGAACCCCTAGATACTTGAAGAGCACTTTGTATAACTTCCTACAAGTTACTTCTTCCTTTAAAAGTTGAATCTGGATTGAAGTCAATGCTGTATAGACACTGCGGTTTGTTTAACAAGGGATGAATACTTTTTGCGCATACAACAGACGTTTTGCATTTCTGGTAATCTAGGTATTTCCCCAAAAAGAAACGACTGGCCTCGGTAACGTACGGATGTTGTAAAAATTCTTCGATCTGAAATCATGAACATGAGAAAATTACAGTGCGTAACAGCGTCGTCATACATTACTTCAGAATCTGTTGAAATTAATTTTACTTAATTAAAAAATTACATGTCCATGACTTAAATAATCGAGTCCATACATACACAAACGTATCCCGTCATTTAAGTAACAGAACATGAGACAGCCAAATTCTAAAAATCAAGGGATCCAAATATCCAGAATTACAGAAACTGCTATTCAGCACGAAAGTATCACAAAACTAAACTTCCATATTCTTAGTCGAGACGAGTGTTCAATTTGAGGTGTGCCTAAAAACATAAAGATTAAAATATATAAATCTATAATTTTACCTGTTGTTTTATATGGGTGTGAAACTTGGCCTTTCGTGTTACGGGAAGAACGCGCATTAAAAGCGTTTGTGAACTGAATATTTTCACCTCAAAGGGATGAAGTAAGAGAAAACTGAAAAATGTTGACTTCTATAAGTTGTAATCTTCGCTAGTTACTCAGGACAGGGACAAATTGTGAACATAATAACAGACCTTCGGGTTCTGTAAAAGGTAGGAAATTTATTATCTATTTGAAGATACTATCAGCTTCTCAGGAAGGACTTTGTCCCATGAAGTTAGCTAAATAATGTTATTCCAGTCCATAATCTGGTCCACAAGGAAGTGGAACTTACACGTTTGCTTCTACATCAGCTGGCGCAAGGCTAACAACCTTGCACCGTAAAAAGGAAGATGTTTCGAAACCTCGATCAAAGCCTCGGACAGAGGAGAATTGAGGAGGCCATGGACCGAATACGGATCGGAGAGCCATAGAAGAAGAAGAACAATAATGGTTATGGAGCCAAAGGAAACAACTTTCCTCAATTACATCGCAGCATTGGCGAGTCAATAGAAGAAGTCAGTCGAGAAAGAAAGTGATTAAATTACGATGCAACGGGAGTTACTTGTGACGCAGAGCAATGCCAATATTTTACATCTGTAAAACACTGACGGTGAGGGCTGGAGTACTTTCCGCTAATCAAATCATCACATCATGTTCATGTTTATAGTCTACAACTGGAGGCCATCTGCAAACTAAGGAAATGCCACACTATCGTGCCACGGAACGTACTTGACAATTTTTAGGTTTATTTAAGACAGGTAAAAATTAAAATTAATTGTTCTAAGATTTATAGAACATCTTACTGAAAGGAAAAGTGTGCACGTGACATACTTACTGATATTCATGCATTCTTTATCCCGCAATGTTCTGAAAGTCGGAGCACATGTGCCAGTTACATTACTATTACTTGTGAAAACATAGTCTCCCTGTCGAATAATAGTTGCCTCTACGGTAACTGAAGACTAATAAACAGAACAATAAAATCTTGAAACTAATGAACGTAATCACACGAGTTTCTCGTACCATCAGCGATCAGCTATAACAGACAACTAAAAACTGTAAACTGTTTCAACAAGCCCATGCTTCCCCACAAACAATGGATATTTTTGTTTATTTATGTGCAAAGCATAAATAAAACTCATGTTTAATGTCATTAGGAATTTTTTTTTTAAATTTGTTAGTCAGTCATTAAGCTGAAAAAGTCTGCAAGTTTTTTTTGTTTTGTTTTTTCCAGAGATTTACGCTCCTATTACATCTGATCTACACTCGCTCTCCTAGCTGTTTATTTCATCGCTTAAATATTAGGAGATAAACTGTAATTTAATACCTTCATCCATTCACACGCCGCTATTTCTCTGTTGCATTTGTTGATTTCCTCTGAAACTGGTTTCAGACCCACGACGAAGTAGATATCCGAGCATCTGAACATTCCGCTGTGGGTGTGCCGTAAGGATATGAGAAACTCAAATTCTGATTTCACGTTGGTTTCCTCCAAAACTTCACGAACCGCTGCATCTCCTATATCTTCACCTTCACAAAACAACACCAAACGGAACCTTAAGTCCTTTTCATTAACGAAAAATTGGGCAAAATTATTACTTTAACCAAGAACTCCGAGGTTACTGACAGAGGTGACATCTGTCAAATATTTTGTCTTATTTCCAACATTCAGCTACAATGAAAATTATGAAGCTTCTACAATTCACAGACCACTTAAAATAAAATTTTATATATCCTTTAATTAAGTAAAGTAAAGTTTGTCCCACTATGCGCCATGTAGACGTTTAGGGGGAGAGAAAGTATAGCTCCTCTCTTCCTTGACCTCGGCACTAGATGGGGGTGAGTGGATGGTGTCACGCCCCGGCCGCGCTTTACCCCAATAACATAATGAAACAACAAAAATGTCCTCAACAACAACCAAAGTAAATTACAGTAAAACACAAAAATAACAGAATTTACAAATGACGTATAACCTAGAGAATACGAACAAAGAAAAGTTAAAAGAAAGTTTAACTGTTGCCGATATTATACGCAAGATGTAATCTTCAATAAAAATGTGAATGTCCTCGTAAATAGCATCGGCACAGAGGAAAAGATCATGATTGGAGAAAAATGACTCAAGAATGAACAGAGAATGGAAGGTCACAGAATACACCAAACGGAATGTCTGATTTAAACTGCAAGGCCGATAAGGAACAATAGAGGAAGCTTCTACTCCTTGAAGAAGGTCCCGGAGACACTTACCAGGTTCTACGTAGCCACCGGGGAGTTTCCAGTGTGGAATCAAGAAATACTTCTCTTTCACCACAAGGATCTCGTGTGCGTCATTCACAACTACTGCGCCAACACCGATCATTGTGTGCGCATACGGCGGAATATTGCACTCTTCGGTGGTAGGCAGCCAGCGGTACATCATCACATACCCAGATTTCGCATGATGAAACTGGAATTCATTCTAAAGAGGGGGGAGGGAATCTATAACATTTGCAACCGCACGACTAGTTCATGTAAATGGCTGTCGAATTAAGTCTTACGTTTTTGAAGTCAAAAATAGCATGTCATCATTCCCTGGTCTGAGCCAGCTCAATCCAATTTACATCATCCTACCCCGTATCCCTAGTCTCGATTCCAACGCAGTATTACCTACGCCCACATCTTCCAAGTGGTCTCTTACCTTCGGACTTTCGAACTTAAACTGTACGCGAATTTCTCATCCTATTCATGTGCGCTACGTCCCCTGCCGATTTTATCACCCTAATAATATATGGTTAAGATCAGAAATTATGGAACTACTCATTGTAAAAGTCTCTCAAGTCTCCCTTTACTTTATCCCTTGTACGTCAAAATACTCTCCTCATCACCCCGTTCTCGGACACACTCAATCTGTTCTTCCCATGATACGAAATGCAAAATTTGAGTCCCACAAAAGAAACCCAGGTAAAATTACAATTCTGTATGTTTTAATAATTAAATCTGCTTAACCATCAACAATTAATAATGTTACATTTTATTACATTTTTAGACAGGAAGCAGGAAGACAAAAAGAAATTCCAAACTGCATCGTATATTCCGACGAAGCCGAGTGATTATGTGACAATAAACAAACTATTTGTTCAACAGAATGTGTCGCTACAGAATCAAACCAACACGTTTATTAGACACAGACCGCAGCACCCTCGGAAGAGTGCCGACTAGGCTCTGATGAACATGAGAAGCGTTCTGTGAATTTAATCTGCTCTTAATTTCTTTGTAATCAGGTTGTAAGAGTGCCGACTGCATTAAACTGGTTCAAGATCAGGTTCAGTAATTGGCTTTGGCCATTATCTGTGTCAGACCTCAAGTGTTCTATTATGACATCATTAAATATTTTAGTTATTTATGTAATACCTTCACTTTTGGACAACGAGCAGCACAAGTTTTGTGCCAAAAGATCATTTTTCATTAACGCTCCCATACTTTTTAATTGAGACACAATTCTTAGAGACCGCCCACCTTTGCGAGAAATGGTACCCAATCTGCATACTCCAGCGTCACTTTGAACCAGATACCACGAAAACTCTTCTCAGTCCAGTGTTTTAATGACGCTGCAAAATTAAACACACGTTAATTTCAGTTTTGACTTTATAAGGTAAAAAAACATTTGTTCGGAGACATTCTCTGCGGATCAAATGACGTCTGTGCACGTCGGAGCCATGCAAATAATCCACGGGAAACGTGACACACCACCGGCAGCACGTGACTCGCGTAACTGATGTTACTGCAGTGGGGACGGGCACTCTCTCATCTGGTGGCTCTACAGGGCAATTGAGAAGCGACACGCCACAGAATCTCACAGGAAAATTTATGTAATTATAAGCAATGATTGAAGAAACTTTAAAGATAACAATACAGAAATTAATTAATTAATCTGAACCAAAGTTGTGACGTGACAATGCAAATATGAGCGGGGACGCTGACAGTGTACTGGATACACAAATTTATTATGATATGGAGACTCTGTGAACATTCTATCAAGATGAATGCAGAGAACTGTACCTTCCAGCTTCTTAGGAAAAACGCTGACATCACACGGTTCTTTGGATGAATCAACTGTGATGCCGTGGAATCGATCCTCTTGTCCTTGAAACACCTGATTCAACACAATATCTTCTACCGCAGTCATTGAGCTGATGAAGTTCTTAGCAACACCTTGAGAAATTAATCTTAAAGTACAGCTGCAACACAGGACGAATAAGAGTAAAACTAATTTAGAATAACAAAGTGTGTACAGGAAGGCAGTCAACCTCTGGAATGAGAGAAATTAAAATGAAGAATGCTCTTGACTACAGGACAAAATCTTAAAACAATGAAACTGTTTTAAGTGTAAGATTGGGACACAATTATTTGTGAATGATTAACCAGTTATTTTATGATTAATGAGATTAAGCAGCTTGAATGAGATGTGGAAGTAGCAGTGACCTATTTTAGGTACTATCTCTGGCTAATATTTAGTATAAATCTCACCATTTGCCTGAAGGAACTGAGTAAAACCACAGAAATTAACAGAATAGTCATTCCTCTGTTTTCAGTTTTGTATTAGGTACCTGAGTCTATGTGCCAACTTTCAAGGCGACTTCTGACAGAACAGTAGCGGAGACAAATGCAAACATTTTTAAGAAATTTAAGTCGGCTGAATTTTTATTGGAATGAAGAATGAACAGCAAGTATATAAAGTGACTCACTTTGTTCCTGACACTTAGACACCAATTCTTAAACCTATGAGTTTCATATCTAAAAATATATCATAATGGTTTACACTATCAATAACACATTTCTTTTATGTAAAGTATAACATGCATTTATTTTTGCTCCTATGCTAATGTTTGATCAGGTTATGAAATAATGTAAAACTGGTAATTGTAATTTTATCAGTTGTCAGTACAAAATACTACCAGCAAGGACTAATGATCTGGCTTTCAATTACAGGCCGAAAAATACTTTAGTACTAATGAATGAATTTCATGTCAGAATATGTATATGCTGAAAAATATGAAACATGTTATCAATCACGAAAAACTTTAGCAGATAAAAAACGTCTACCACAGTTACCTGACGTAGAAGTAATGATAAGTGTGTTCATTGCGAACTGTTTACATAATAGACATAACCTTGAGGTGCCAGGCTTTGAATTAGATAAAACAATAATAGTTCCACAAATACCTTCAAGTCTAAATTAGTAAATTTCATGTAGCATTTTTGTTATAAATTGCAGTGCTTCAGTTACACCACAGAATGTCTTACTTTGTGTTTTTAGATTTGAAGGTTTCGCAGTACACTTTCGTTCCACTTCGTAAAAGTTGCTGCCCATTTGCTACGAGTATGTGACCTTTTAGCGACCTGTAGACTATATTACACATTTATAGAGTATATTAGAGGTGGGTGAGAGAAAAGTAACTGTTAATTTCTATTGTGCACTTTTTATAAACTACGCCAACACGTAAACCATCAACAAGTAGACGAATGTCAATACGCGACCGCCATATTGCATTGAGTGGCGCCATTTCAAAACTTCTCTACTGCAACACATGACAGTGACTGGTAGAAATTAAGAATCAGACGAACTTTGACCAAAGAGTACAAAACATCACTATTTCCTTTTAATGATTATTACTCCTGAACAACAAATTCCTTGTCCAATTTATTTAATTTATAACCACGGCTTTTTTTGAATGATATTCACATATTATTTGAAAATGACGATTACAATACTCTCCTACAGGATCACGAACTTCAGAAACAGAAATTTAAACTTCGACCCACTTCCGGTAGAGTGCCTCGAGACTCTCCACCTCCAATTGGGCGTACTGTTAGGTTTAAAAAATTACTTTCAACACTTAGCCAGATCAATTTCAATTTTTAAATTTTGTTAGTGGCTTATTAAATTCGATTTTTGTAACAGAAAATCTCGATTTTCAGATCTGGTCCTAATCCTTATAAGGGCTCCGAGAAAATCTAGAACTTCTCTATTTTAGGGTCTAGATTATTCAGGAAATTATCTGTATATTTCTGTATTTAAGTGTTTATTTCGTAGAGACAGGTGCCTTAAGATTAATAATTTACTGAGGCAAAATCCAAATAACACCAACTCACCCACAAAAACGATGGTCAGACTGAACCCACACACGTGAAGCAGGTTCTAGGAACTACAACGAGTGATCGCAGTTAAATAAGTGATGAACCTCTGGTGAAATCTGTCACCAGGAGCCGGCAAGGTCGCACTAAGTAGAAGCTTTTGTACGAAAACGTGATAAACGTAACCAACAAGAAAACATTAATAAATAACACACAAAACTGAATTACTTAACGACCAATCCTTTTAGCATCATTAAAACGTCTTTATAAACGGTATCGATGGACCTGTTACGATTTCTACGTCTGCACTTTGGACTGAGGCGACTTAATGAAGGCAGTCGATGGCGTATCCCAAGGCTCGTATGAAGGGAAGCGGAGTCCTCTTGACATAGTTCGGTCGTCTACTCAAGAGATTCACCGCCTTTTACGAAACTCGAAGGTCCAACTTACGATTATCCGCCACCGGTCCTATCCTGAGCAACACTGAATCCAATCCACACCCCCAAACCGTATTTTCCTGAGATACATTTTAATATTATCCTCCCACCTACGACAAAAATCTCCGATTTAGAATTTTCTAATATATTTACGCGTTTTTAATCTTCCCAATGCCTGATACATAAACACTTCATCCTCTGATAATATTTGGTGCAGAGTACGAACTATGAAATCTTCATCACGAAATCTTTTTCCATTCTCCTGTCACTTAGGCCCAAACATTCTTCTCAGATGCAGTCTTTGTTTTGTTTTTCCTTCGTGCCTAGGAGAGAAGACGATGGGGCGTGGAGAAAACTGCATAATGACGAGCTTAAAAATCTGTACTCCTCCCCCAATATTGTCAGGGTGATTAAGTCGAGAAGAATGAGATGGGCTGG